ATAATTTTACTATTCAGCAGATTTGCTGAGTGATAAAAATTTTGAAATAGTCACTTAATACCCCAGCCTACCAACCAACCTTGTGCTCAGCAAACGAAGTTGTCACATGAAGGTCACCAGTTCATAGTGCAAGATTGAAAAGGTCGACAACCATTGTTTGACTGAAATGAAACCCTACATTGCTGCAGAAATAGGATGCCAGTCAGAACACTGAAGAAATCCTTCTTTAACCAAAATGCCAAATATCATTGTACTAAGTCCTCTTATTGTTTGAGCAATTCAATATCATGCATTGTTGCTGTCATACACATCAATTTAGTACTAGTAATTTAATTTGTCAGAAAAGTCTGACAAGTATAACAAGGTAAGAGACTTGCCAATTTCATTGTAGACAACTGCACACATTCATATAAAAAAGTGTTTCATTGAAAATATCCACCCTGGCACAATGACTTGATATGCTTTGACATTATTCACTCAGCTTAAATCTCCTTGGTGTCTGTCTATAAGCACTACTTAGACTAAGATTTTTGATGCACTTGAGAGGGATAAAATAAGACTTTGTCCCTGTGATGGCCGGCAGGTTACTATTGAGAAGGCCTTGATGGTCTGGCTTTGTCTACCTCATAATTTCTTGTCCTTCTGTCAGTAGAGTGGTCCTTACAGACTGTAAAGACACATCTTCCTCTGTAGTACATTTTGGCCTCTTTCAGTTTCCCTGCATTCAAGAAACCCAATGTTCATGGTAATGCTTTAATTAACTCATACTACCAGCATATCACATGTTAAAAAAAACTTAATTGTCAACAATATTTAATCAGGCCAATGCCCAATGTTATAAGAACAGTTTTATTGTCATCCTTTATGAGAAAAATGAAACTCTTTTATAGATCATTAGACCATGCTTGATTGTTGCTTTGTATAGTTAATCACAGTAAGTCCATGAAGGGTTGTTCACTCCCTTAACAAGGGTCACAATGTCTTTTGAACTGCTCAATGAGCAAAAGTAGCAGACTAGAATAGAATAGTAGTAAACCCACCTTGGGTGTAATTTGAGTTCTGTTTCACTATTAGTTTGTCCCCCGAGGCTCTGTTTCAGCTTCAATTTGTTGTGCCCACCACCCAATCAGATGGTGGTTTGTCCTACGTAAGAGCTCTACTTGACTTGTTGAATATGAAGAGAAAGAGACCAGTTGTGAATGCTGTTAAAAGGGCTACATGTGTACTCAGTTTGGAGTTACAGAGAAGAAACTACTATTCTATGTGGGTGCAGACCAAAGGCTGTTAGGAAATGAGTGTAAAACAGCCTCAAGACGCAACCACAAATTCCAGAGAAAATTATGTTTTGGTAGTACAGGACCAACCAACAGGGATTCACAACCCACAACATCTTAAAATAAAATCGACAGAGGTGCCCTGGGTACCCTTCCTCTGACCTTGCAGCGCATGCCAGCTACAGGCCAGTCAAGGCTCCCCGCTCTACAGCCTTAACTACTGGAAAAACAAAAGATCTGGAGGTCATAATCGTTTGATAGGACTGCACAAAAGTCATATTCAGACAGGTTATCCGGGGCAGCCTACTCTAGAGGTTCAGAGGTGCAGATTCCACTGGGGTACCAAGCGATAGACAGCAGGCTGCAGCCTCCAAAGCACCTCTTAATAACCATTTAATTAGCACATGGCTCCTCACTGTGAAGCGTTCATAGCCTTTGTGGCTGCAACTGCAATTGCTGCCACAAATACATCTAACATGGGGAAACAAAACCTTTCTAAAACACTTCCTCCAGATGCATGCTGGCTGTTTGGACTCTATAATGCTCTAAGAGCTTAAAATCAGTTACTCAAGATTTAACTGATGAATTTGCAAATCTGTTTTATTTGCATCTAACTGCAGAAAATATTCAACCACCCACTTCTGAATGCCTCAGAGATGATTATGATGACAGTGAAATCCCTGTGGGTTTTGAGAATTGCATAATGGGTGTAGCTGCATATCATCTGCATAATAGAGAACACTGATGGTATGTCTATGAGACGGCCTTACAAAGACATAACAGAACTGGACATAGCTACGACTCCTGGGAAACTCTACAGAGCATCCTAGATGTGAAGGACCTCAACAACATTTAAGTGTTACTCTCAACCCTTTTCAAAGTAATTGGCATGTACACCCAGTGCTTAAGAGGGATTGCATGCATTAGCAGTGCCAAATACAGTACTGAAGTCAACAAATCTGATTAAATGCTGCATCATAACCTATAAGTAATTAATTATTTTGAGTAAGTTAAGTTAGCCCTAAAGCCTGACTGAATTTAATGAAAGAATCATTTTTATTCATAGAAGCAATCTGCAATAAACATTCTCCAGAAATGTGACAAGAAAAGAGAGACTGGTCTATGACTGTTCAAGACATTTGCATCTCAGAGATGTTACAAGTGATGTCGGACATTGGCATTTTATTTATCACTGCCCAAAAGGGTAGCACTGGCACAAGCTAGTTTAAATTACCTTTTTGCAATTAATCAGTCATAAAACCCAGAAGGTAAGACCGATAAGACAGACAAAACAGCAAATACACATTATAATTTTGCAGTATCATAGGTCATAACTGTGTAGGACCAAAGATGGAAATTATGGCTGCTATGAATGGGGAGAGATGTGATACTATATATATATATATAGTATAAATACAAATAAACAAACATAGTACACATCAAAAACCAGTGACAATCCAAACAACTGGCAGTGATATGTACTTGAAAGTCAGTGTTCAGTGGATGTTGCATGAAACATTATGCATATCTGGGTCAACCCTACACTGTTATCAACAAAGCTAAAAACATATAGACGTATAGTTGAATTTTAAAGCAGAATTTATCAATCTAATCTAATTGCAAGGACTTCAAACAGACTTTCTGACAGGTTTGTAAAAATATTCTGACATGTCTCGTTCAGAAAACTTTTGGTGAGTTTCCCTTCATGTTGCTCCACTTCTCTTTGGCCTTCAGCAGTCTCTAGAAACATATCTAAATTCTCTCTGAATCTGTTTGTACAATAGGTTGTAGAACAAGCTCTTCACCATTTTAGCAGGGTTTTCAATGCTTTTTTTTGCCTTGTGAATGCACAATGGCAGATACCAATCGGTGCCTGCTTGCCATTCGCAGGGAGTGACCATGCTGACATCTGTGTGCGTAGATGAACACAGATGGATATGTAAGTTGAATTATACTCTTCTATTGAGGCAAAAGCCATTAAACCTAAATAACCTTTGATTACATGTAAATCATCAATTATTTATGTGACCCCTGCAGGGTTTAACACACTGATTACTGTTTCAAAAACCTTGAGTCTCATAACAAGTATTCTGTCAAAGATGTATGTGGGAGTTATCATCCCTGCTATGGTCTTTGCTAATAAGTCTCCTATGTCCCACCTACATGACCTTTGTGAGAAACAAAAACACAAACAAAAAAAAATCCTCCTTAGTTACTAGAGTCTAAAATTATTAGGACAAATGCATTCAACACCATAAACCATAAATTACACTGTAAGTTACTTGACTTGTTGGAGCTGAGAAGGTAATTTCCTGTGTTCCAAGTGCCTGCAGACTTCTGTACCTGAGCCTGCACTGCCATCTGCTGCTCCTTGATATGAAACACACACCAGGGAGCCAACAGAGCGGGTGGGTTGAGGGGTCATGTGCTGCATTCAAGTACTCATCGTGAATACCTAACTTTCAAATGCAAGTTGTGTATTCAAAGCCTTTCCTTGGAAATAATTAACAGATCCTGGCTTTTGTCTGTTTTTGAAATCAAACAAAACAAAGTTAGCTTGTCCCATGGCAAATTAATGTACAGAAAGACTTGCACATCAGGGGTGTAATGTCTCACTCTCATGGCACACCACAATATGACACTATGACAACTCGAATGAGAAATATTGGCTAGTAACAACAACAATACAGCCCAGATAATGTAACAAATCAATATCAAATCACCACACACACCTGTGAAACAACTCCAACCTTATGTCTGCTTTTGTCCTCTTTTTTTTTCTCTCTGACAAATCACAATGTGATGCACTTTCCATCCAAAGCCATCAATCTGCCACTTCTAACAAACCTATTACAACTGACTGGATGTGAGCTGTCATGAAGTCGCACACTGGAATCCTGCAGTACCTCACAGGTCAATCAGCAAAGCATTGATTAGCCTGACAAACACCTCTCACTGAATCAATCATAACACACAGTAACACAATGAGCTGCCTTACCTTAAACCGGTGTCTGTGTAATTTGGACCTCGACTCATTTTCCAGCTTGAGCTTGTTGTGCCATTGACCCTAGATCATGGTAAAACAACAAAAAAAGGTCAATCAATTTTGAGAGATAAACATTTTGATTTTCCCATAGAGGTAAAAACCACCCTCTGATTTTGCCAGGTCTGTGTGTGTAAACATGTGCACCATATTTGGGCACAATAACACAAAGCCAAACCACTTGGTCAATTATGTCATTAGACACATTTTAGGAAGATTGAATAAAAATTTAAGTCTGTTGTTATAATTTGTTTTTGGGACAAAATAAATAATGATGGAGAACCTTGTAAGATTCACTGAAATATACATCTTGACCAAAGGAATCCAGGGGAAAAGTAATATGAATGTTTGGCTCCCTTGTACAAAAAGTAAAGGTGGCAAGTTGATGCTGATTTGTTGTGCCTGAGTACTTGAGTACTTGAGTAGAAGGCAACCCCATCTATGTGCTACACTTGGTTGTTTGAGGTGTTCCCATCTCTGAAATCCAGACACTTTTGGGGAATAATGATAATAACTGTGCCAGTTGGGGATTTGTAGTTAATATTTCAGACAGCACTTGAATGCAGCTGGTCTAATCTGGTCTAATCTGGGCTTGAACGTCACCAGATGAGAGATGACATCTGTGGATACTGGCTTTAGTGTTCAAGTGAAATAAACGCATGGCTGTCATTTTCTGAGACAAAATGTCTATAACAACTTGCCAGAAGGTTACTCTTATATCATGCTCTGTTCTCTGTGTTTCTCTTTTCTTGCCCAGAATGCTTTTACCCAGAGGAAAAAAGGAGATGGAGCAGCCTGAGGGTAAGGCGGCTTATCAGATCATCATCCATCCATCTCCATCCTGCTCCATCTCCATGTCTTTTTTTTCTTCCTGATGTTGTTGCTATTGTTGTTGTTTCCAGCTGTTCCTCTAACTATGCAGAGTGCACCAGGCCTAGGGCCTCATCATAATGTTACACAATGGAAAAACATGCATTTCACACGTACTGAAGAGTACTGTATTTATATTATTGTATATACATGTTTGGGCATATTTATTTATCATTTCTAATGTCCACACTTAATTTTTTAGCTTACATAATAAACACTGTGAAACTGAAGTTATTGTAGGGTTGTGTGTTATTGTTGTTATTTGATACTTTTACAAATCATGTCCAGCATGGAAGTACCTCTTGATGTTTCCCTATACCTGATGAGAGGGTTTTATTTCTTCCTTGGGATTTAACCTGATAACATTTTAACATGGTTATCAGTCACCACTATAGGGACACCTCTTGTCACATATAAACTTGGACAGATTTGTCATTTAACCAAAGAATAAATAAACTGATATCTGAAGTCTCACAAAGAGTTGTCCTTTAGCTTGTAGGTAAAAATTACTCTGTAAAAACTTTGTTTTTAATTATACACCAAAGCGTTTCATGGAAAATGGTAATTCATATAATATTGTGAAAAACTATTTACTTCCTATGTAACACCACTGTGGTCTAATGTAAACAAACAAAACAACAATACTGCAGTCAAAAGATATTTTAGTTTTAAAGATATGGTCCTGAGGTGAAGCTTGCCATTTGCAGAGCAGTATAGTGTTATTTTGGAAATTATTATTTAGTTTTGATAAGATTTATTTCATCAAACATGTGCTGTTCATTGTGTGAAGGCTGACTCAGTTAAAAGGAACAAGATGGCTGTCACGCAAATCAAGCTAATTATCAATCATCAAACAAACCAAGACAAAATGTTACAAATGTCACATGCACCTAGAAAGTATTTCCCTCTGAAATTTAGTTCCTTCACAGATAATGTCAGTGTATGCTTTGTTTTTATGGTTTGCCCACAGGGAGTGTAAAAGTGAACAACTATCCTGACAGATGTCAAAATAAAGTGATAAATTGGTATTCATTGCAGTTTCCTACCTCGTGAACCACGCGTCTCTTCGGCTACGTCTTGTTGGTCCAAAGTAAAGGAGACTGTGGCTTTCCCTGTGCTTTTGGTTGCTCCTCAATAGTTGTGTATGTTGGTAGGTTTACATCCATTCTGGTAGCGGTAGTATGCTAACATCCTCTCAATGCGCCTGGCTACGAACAAATGTCGCATTTTGATTTACAATTTTGGAGTTATGAGCGATTGTTTGAGGCGTGTCTCCTCCTAGTGTAAGTAATAACGATGGCTGTGCTTTGATAATGGGACGTTTCAAACTTATAATCACCACATCATGCTCTTTTGCCAGCTGACCTCAGTGTGTACCGCCAGGTAACTTCCACTCTACACTTCCACTTGACCGCAGCGGCCTCCTGCTGCCGATTGTGCAGCTGTGTCTGCCTGTTTGGGCGGGCTCGATTGTGATTGGTGGAACAGGCTGTAGATCATCAACAACAGCGTATGAATGGTGCACAGAGGCGCTAAGGGCGGCGACGATGACTTTCCAGGAAATAATGTATCCAAGTATCCATGAGTATTATTTGTTTATGTAAATAATTCTTGAAATCTAGCATTACAAAAAATATTAAATTTCAAGGAAAAGTCCTGTATTAAAAATTCAACTTATGTAAAAGTGCAAAAGTATCATCAGCAAAATGCAATTAAAGTATCTGAAATAAAAGTACTAGTTTTGCAGTAAAATTACCCTCAAATTATATAATAATCTGACATAATCTTTGATATATGTTTTGCAGCATATTGGATAATTCAAGTTTAAAGATGAAATGTCTCTTTAGTGGAACTGATAACAACTCATAGACATGTGAAATGCACATGGAAAGGGCCCCCAGTTGCTTTTTTGTGAGTGGTCAAATATCAAAAAGGTTGGAACAATGAATTTTATAAGCTTATCATATTTGTTTTGTGTTTAAAATCTTATCTGAAAAGTATTTCGTTGGCTTAACTTGCTCTTAAAATAAATGTGGTGAAACTCTGAAATGTGATGTAATAAAAATGTAAAGTATCAGAAAATTGAAATAGTCAAGCAAAGTACTTACTTAGTTCTATTTGCATGGTTAACTTCTAAAAATGAGAAGCTATAGCATAGATGAACCAGATGAAGAGATAACTGTGAAATATTTGCAGGGAAGTTTTGCTCTAATTAGTGATATTGACTGACTGATTGTTTTTTGTCTCTACCAGTTGGACCCGGGTTCTACCCCTCTGTGATGCATCAGCTGTCAGTGCCAGAGGACTCAGAACGGTGGGGCGTGGACCCTTCATACACCATGACACACAGTGCAGAGGCCATGGCCAAAGTAAAAGTCATCGGGCGAGGCAAGAAATACAACCTGATGGCTCAAGTGATACCCATATATGGCTTCGGGATCCTTCTTTACATCCTCTATATCATCTACAAGGTGATTACTATTGCTGGCCTGCGTGATAGGCAGGGTGTATGATTATAAAATACTGTATATGAATATAAAGTGTTATGATATAGTTTTACACTATACTATATAATGTTGTGTCTACAGTATACTGCACTGTATAATGTTGTGTAAATACAGCAAATGAGAAATACCATTATGATCTCTGTGAAGGTAAGGATTATGAATTTACTTCCCATTTAAGTATTTTAATGTACGTTTGATAATAATTTGTTCACAGCTGACATGTAAGGGGAAGACTACTAAATCAGGAAACTACACTCCGGTAACCATGGCTAATATGGAGGATGAGATTAGTAAGTACCTTTAGCAATTTCAAGTATTTGTGACATAATTCCAAAAATTATCTGTATTAGTTCAAAGATTTTAACGGCCCTAGGTTTCTTATATAGTTGAATTTGATCTGATCATAGACAATATGGTAACATTTGGCTTTTCACTATATAGTGACATTAAGTTTTTCAGTGAAATAGGGTCAAAGCCAAAATACTTTTGTTATTGTAAAAAGAATGCAGTGTGTAAATTACATTTTTGCCAACAGTATTTGTTGGTACAAAGTAACCACACATCCCTTAACATATGCAGGTGTGTCAATGTACATATGAATTTACACACCAATATATAATTTGTACATATACTGTTTACAGAAAAGCGCATTATGTTTTGATATTAAAAAAATGATCTCTCTTGTAAATCTTGTAGCAACAGATAATGAGCTTGCCAGGCTTCAGGAGAGACTAGTGCAGACAGAAAGGATGATGGAGAGGATTGTCTCAGCAAAAGGCCGTGGTTCTGGGAGGTAGAAGATTTTTTTTCTCTCTCTCTTAACACACTACTATTAACTGCCCATAGGACATGAGAACCAGAGAGATTGCTTCATATTAGGATAAATCAGGGTAGACCTGGTATGGAAATTAAAACTCAAAATTAAAGAGAAAATTATTCAAAGGCGGAAAGGCCATTGGCACATTTTACTTAACAGCTACTGCTACTGCTTTATTCAAAATTCCTTAGGTCATACAATAGCATAAATTGTTTATGAAGTGAATTCATGTCTATGAAAATGGAAATAAGTTTTTTATAAAGCAAATAAAAACAGATCCTCACAGACTCAATAATGTAGTCGAAGTGTTTTTAATTGATATAAAAAACACCTCTAATCTGGCCCTCGTCTCACTCAATTCGGGCTTCAAAAAAAAAATCAAGAAACCAAGACCAATGAGAAAGTATGCAATTTAACTGAACTGGCATAGGGTTGTGTACCATTGCGCAGCCATCTTGCCTGACTTCCAAATCTGTGCTGCTCTCTAGTGGCAGAAGGAGGAAGAGTAAAACGTCGACATCAAAGAAGGAGGAAAAATTACTCAGGCAACTTCGACAGATCACACAATTGATGCAAGAGGGCCGGCTGGAGGCAGCCTCCCCAGAGATGGAGGCCGAGGAGGTCCCCTATGGTGCAGACTGGGAAGGTATATGCCTGAATCAGAATCCCCAAGCTCCTAACAAAATGTTATAAAATGTCATATCTGTTGCACTTATGGCAGAAGATTTTGGCCTCAGAGTAATCTTACACATATTTAATGATAAGAAGCTGTTTTATGCAACTAAACTGTCATACTGTATTTCAAATGATGTTTGTTTTTAAACACCAATGCAGGCTACCCAGAAGAGACCTACCCAGAATATGATGTTCCCTATGACAGCCGAGGATTTGACACCATTATGCTGGAGGAACACAGCAGCCAGCCCACTGCTGAGGCCCTGGCAGAGAGGATGTTGCAAGAGGAGGAAGAGATCATGGCAAGAAAGCTGTCTGTAGTGCAAGAGGAAGATGAGGATGAAGAGGAAGAGGAAGAGGAGGAGGATGGAGAGGAAGAGGAGGAGGAAGATGAGGACGAAGAGGAAGAAGTGGTGGAAGCAGGGCAAGACATAGAAGTGATGGAGGAGGAGGAGGAGGAGGAAGAAGAAGAGGAAGCAGAGAAAAAGCAGTTGCTCAGTCCTCGTTTTTCCCGGCTTGCGGCAGAGAGGGAGCAGGAGAGACTTGGACTGGAGGTGAGCAAAGAGCTACAGTGTCAGAATGGAGGGAAGAAGCAAATAAGCTTCAGTGACCGCAAAGATGTGTTCCACTACCCAAAAGAGGAAACTTACGAGGAGGAGGAGGGAGAGGAGAGGGAAGACGAGGTGGAGGAAGAGGACGAGGGGACAGAGGTAGAGGAAGAGGAGGAAGCTGATGAAGATGACCCAGTGATGGAGGCAGAGAGCCTGCTGTTCAGCTGCGAAGGTGGCTCAAACCCGGAGGAAGAAGCAGAGGAGGATAAGGGAGAATATTTGTTAATGTCAGCGATGGTGGAGGATGACGGTCGTCTGAACGCTGACATGCCTAAAGAAGTCGGGGTGAGTGGGCTGAGGATGCGGAACAGAAGGGAGACTTAAAGGACTTTTCCTTTACATAAAATGAGTTGTTAAACATACAGTGAACTCAATGTCCCTCACCTCGTACATTCTTAATTACTCCCTTATGTGTGAAAAATATTGAACACAAGCTAAATAGAGACACACCGTAGTAAGAACTTCTTCCAGGAGGGTTTTGATACAGTGTCCACAAACAGACAAACAGTGAAAAAGTTTCAGTTTCAGTTTCCAGAAACTCAGGCCTAAGGAGCTTTAAGCAGTTAAAATTCAGAGGACTCCCCACATGTCCTTTTTCTACCAAAACAGATTTGGAACATCAATTGTTATTTTACTTCACAGTCAGTGACATAGACTGTTCGGACTGTTCTTAGTTTAAAAGGTCCTGCACATAGACGCCCCGTTCCCCCACTTGTTCTCCTAAGACAAGTTAGAATGTAAGAAATGTCTATTGTAATTATTGTTTCTGACATTTGTAAGGAACATAACATTGCCGTTTCAAAATTATTTTTATTATACATACCTGTATATCCGATTACAAGTACACTGTAAATAGCACTTTAAATTTTAAGTTTACCGTGACAGCTGTTACAACATCCTTAACATCTGTCTTTTAACATGAGCTGGGTTTTGTGAATGTGTATTAGTGTGTGTTAGTGTTAAACACAATAAAATGTTTAAGGCTAGCACCTTTTCTGGTTGTGACTCACAAAGCAACAACTGAGTCTGAAGCTGAATCTCAGAGGAATAGAGATATTGATGAGTGGATATAATGGTCAGATCAAGCAGCAGCAATCCCCACGGTCAGAGCTCTCTCTCTGATCATACAAAAATGCAAAGCAGAAAACGGCACCAGCAAAAGACAGACAGGAAAGAAAAAAAGACAATCGATCATGAGAAACACAGCTTTAGTCAGTCACAACAGGTTTCAGTATCTGTCTCTATCCAAAGCTTGATTGTCCCAAATATCCCTGTAATGTTGGAACTGTTATTTAGGAAGGCTACTATAGCATTAAATAATGGCACCACTCCTTAACAGTTAGCTTGTATACACGGTTGTAGGCAAACCAGCAACTCCATAGTATTGTACTGTTATAGCCATGCAAACATTTTTGTTCATTGTTGTAAAAAAAAAAAAAAAAAATACCAGTTGGCATTGCTCCTCAACCTCTAATAAAGCATTACCATGTTCATCTTATGTTCTTCTACTTCTTTCATGCATCATTTAGGCGTTGACTCACCCCTGTAAAGACTATCAATACATCTTGCCAGTAGATTTCAGCTTTGCTGTAAATGTTGCATTTACTGGCCCAATAGGAAGCACAAGTACAGCATGGCTCAGAACAAGGCGACTAATAACAATTTTCTGGGACTGGAAGAGATGGTATCTTTACTGTTGCCTTGATTTAAAATAGGACTGCATTAAAGTCATAAACATGAGAATACAGGAGCTTTGGATTTGATTGTTTTTCTTTTGTTTTGTTTTTCTGAGAGTACAGGACACATGTTTTGACTTACTGAAGTTTTATTTTTTTTCCCATGATCAAAGGACTGTGTCTATACCACCACAGTAAATTGTACACCATTAACTGTACATTACAACGAGAGCACTAAAAACAGAAAGTGAGAAGACGTTTGGTGCCTGGACACATGTATGAAAAGCAGACTTTACAGCAAGAGTATCAACAATTTTAAAATAGAAATTTAAAATAGTTAGAACACAACTGAGTACAAGAATAGCACATTTGATAAAGATTTCCTCATAACCCACAGTAACAATAGCGGTATCAGAGATTGTTCTTTGCCTTCATTCAGCATTTTTTCAATGGTCATAAAATACAAAATACTATCATATATTTGAGAAAGGATACTGCCCCATAAAGAGCAAGAGGAATAATAGTTTTGAGTAAAAATGTGAACAGCAATAAACCATGTGACATAGAAACTTACTGCCAGTCAGATGAGGAATGTACCAAACTCCACATCAGTGGGGCGTAAAATTAATCAAACACGTAAAGAGCAAGAGATGAAATATGTGTTAGCTGTGGCAGATTCACACTTTCACTGTGTGTTTGTTGGCAGTAAGTCAATCTGTGTTGAGTTTGTTTCTTCCAGGTAAGAAAACGTCATAAGATATGAGCACAACAATAAGCCTGAGTGCCTTGGATATTATATCTGCTGCCTGATTTACAGTACAATGTAAATAATTATTCCCCTCTGTAGTGTAATGTGTGGAGGACCCTAAAGTTACTTAAATGTTCATGGACAATCACTAAAATGATGTCCAGTGATGTGCACTTTGGATTATTATCTTCTGGAGGTGTTGCAACCCCAGTTATTTAATCAATCTAAATTAACTTGCAATAGACAACTTAATTCAAAGTAGCTACAGAGAAATATTTCCAGTGCATGTGAGAACAGCAAGAACAGCAAAGACCAGTTCAAGCTCAGCTCATTTGACAGCCAAAGCGTAGCACTGGAATTAGTCTTCAAAGGCACAATAAAGTATGTACAGCTATATCTCATCCACTAACAGACTTCAAAGTAAAGTGCACCATCATCCTGTACATTCACATACATGACACTGTGACACAATATTGTATATGGTACACAGCACAGTGTAACATGCCTTTGCCCTGTTCGTGTCCAAGTCGCTAATTGTTTCGTGTGGATACAAGAGATTTTCCTTCTTGTGATGCTAATTTATGTGCTTGCAGCTCAATGGAGCCAGTACTGCTGAAACTGATGCAAATGATAACAGAAAACAAAATGAGCATGTAATAAATACATAAATAACAAAATAAATATATTGTGACGTGCATGTTATTAATTCAGTTACTATATAAGCAGTGCTCATGCTTGAGGAAGTGTGTGGTGTTGTGTTTTTTTTTTTTTTTATGTGGCAGACTACATAAAATCCAGTCAACTTTTAAAACTTACTGATGTGTAACTGTTAGTTATAATTTACAGATAAAGAAATGTTAAATTTCTCTAACTACTACATAAAGGAAAAAGTGTTTGTTTTTATAATGTCATTACGGTACAAAATGACTATAGTTATCAAAAACAAATGAATTTGATTTTGAAAGTGGATTACGCTTTGTGCTTGTTTTCTTCCACTGACCAAGACCATCCTGAGGTCCCACCCCCCAACACACACACATACACACACAAAACTTGAGGCCCATAGAGCATTTTGGGAAATGCAGGACTTCCAAGGTACTGGGGTGGTTTGAAGATCTCTAACCAGCCCCAGGGACACATTAACAGCCCTTTTTTAGAGGACAGATGGATCAGTTCTCTGCTGAACTTCAAGCTGGGATCTATTCACAGGCTAACTTGCTGTCAAAGCTGGAGAGGGCAATGGCAAAGGCTTGCAGGGCACACATTGGGTAGTTATAGTCCATGGTGAAGACATCTTCTGCCACACGGCCAAACTGCATCACAATATAGTCGGCTACAGGAGAGAAGAACCAAGGACACAAATGTTAGATATGCTTCTTTGAAACAATGTTTTCCCCTCCCTTTATATTAATTTATTTTATTAACTAGTTAGACCCAAAGTATTCATTATTAAATAAAAAAGAAGTCATTAAGAAACAATCAAATGAATATATGAACAACCTGAAACCTGAAGAAGTGTTTAGGACTTGAAATAAAAGATTCCATCTGAGTCATGGATGTATGGTTTCCCCCTTCTTGATTAAAATGCAGTATTTTATTCACCTTCAGTGTTTTCAGCTATCTTGTCATAACATTTGGTGAGTAAAGAATCGCACACATAATGTATATAATGTAACCATGACGTTGTTCAGAAATCAAATAAAAGCGCCGTCCGGGGAGCCAAACAGTCATATAACCAGAATGTCAAAGGTTTGATTCCAGCCAGACACCACCTTGTTGTGTATTATCACTTGTGTCATTTATTTCTTTATTACCTTCTCTCATTGTTTGCACTTTTAGTTACTACTCCAACCTCCGATGTATAATGGAAAGGACTGTATATTTCACAGGGGGGTGCTATACTAAAACCTACCACTGTGTGAGTCTTTTGCTCAGCACAATATGACTATAACATGGCAAGTGCACAAAACATGGATGTGTTCATTGTATTTAATATTAAACCCTTTAATAGATTATAGGTATGGAACTCACGGTCATTGTCGTGAATGATTTGGAAATTCTTGACGGACGCCTGAGTGACTCTGCCATGGAAGTTGAGTACATAGGATTGTGTGTCATCGTTCCACACAGGCGTCTTGTTGTGGAGTTCAATCACACTCTCTGTGTTCTTGTTCTGCCACCTGGCCAGCAGTGACTCATGGTCCTGTAATGGAGACAAAAACAACAGCTCTGGACATAGACATCACAGATATTCATTCCATCAACTAAGAAAATAGGAGAGGCTGAATTTATCAGCACAGATACGACTATTGAGAAATTAGGTAGCACATACATTTCGCGGGCGAATAGACACTCTCTCGTGATCCATGTTCATTCCAGGAATGATGACACTCATTTTGCGAGGTCCTTTGAATCCTAAGACATTGGTTTCCTAGATGGAAGAGATGATAAATGGTACTGTAAGCATGTTCATCCAACAAACTTACGAAGCTTTAATAACATATGATGACATAATATGACATTACGTATTTAATGTAATATGTCATATTAAACATATGTCACATTTCATCACAAAAAATACACAAGACAAATTAACATGTATTAATCTGAAGAATTATACATTTTACCTACTGCACCTGGTGCAACTTCTGAAAAACATTTGTGAAAATAATGCATGTTCTTTATTGAACTAATAGCCACAACCTAAATGTTAATGTTAATGTTTTCAGGCTACTGACAGTTATCTGTGAAAGTTAATGTCATTCTCCTTTATAGATAATTCGTTGGATTTATACTTGGATAGAGGATAACTTGATTTCAACCTGATAATGGCAATGCCCTGACTCCTGAGTTTGTTGCATGACTGACTTTATCTGATTATCTGAGTCAGAATCTCTAAA